AAGAATGCCGCGTAAAATATATATATATATATATATATATATATATATATAATATTTAAAATTAAGATAAATTTTATAGTAAAAAGATTTAAATTTCTTAAAATTTTGATAAAATATACCTAATTTTTAAATTAATATTTACTTTTTTATAATTTTTTGAAGAAATTTGGTTAAAATTATTTAAAAACTAAATTTTATTTAAAATATATGCTTTGGCGACACCGATGGTGGCAAAATACCACATGACAACCTCTAATTAGCTTCTTCAAGCTGGAGCCAGTCATTGATAATGACTGCATGGCGGCGCAATCATTGCCACATGATTGATTGGCAGTTGGACCCACGCTATTTTTACTTAACCGAGTTAGCATCCCGCCACTGCTGTCTGATCGAGCAAAGTTTTGAACTAATGGTTTTTTGGGTTAGAAAGGTCTTAATGGTCAAAAAGACTATTTAGACCTTTAAAGCATCATTGGTCAACTTAAGTTGACCTAGGAGCTAGGTCTAGGTTCAATAAGTTTGAAATGATATTTTGAGTTTGTTGGGTGATCCCAAGGTCTGGGAGGTCAATTTCGTCAAATTGACTATTTGGACCCTTAAGGGTCTATTTGGTCAACCTAGGTTGACTTGGTCAACCAGATTGACCTAAGGCTTAGGTTTGGGTCAAACAGGTTTGATTTGATGTTTGAAATTTGTTGGAAGTGGTGTCATGAAATTAGGAGATCATTTGGTTTGAAATGGGCATTCAAACCCCTAAGGGGTATTTTGGTCAAAATAGGTTGACTTGGTGAATCAAGCTTAATCAGGGTCTGGGCTTAAGTCCACTATACTCATAATAGTGATTAGGATACATTGAAGAAGATTTTGAGCATTAATATGAAAAGTCATATTGAAGTCTATAGAGAACTCCAAAATTATCTTAAGGGGCTTTTTGATCATTTTGATCCCTGATCAACTGGTGGTCAAAGTGAGTCCACCAAAATATATTTTAATGCTCAATATAATATAATAAAGGGTATGGAAGTAAATAGAGGCTTTGGGAAAAGCTCCAAGGTCATGTTCCATTAAAGGACAGGTCCAGCGGCATTGATCCTAAATATTTGAGGGTTTTACAACCTTTAGATTTAAATCCAATTTATGGGGTTAGAAGTTTTAGAATGAGCTCAAATTTGGAGGGTAGATCTTAGGGACATATCTAATCAATATGAAATTGCTAGATCATGAATTAGAGGTTTTTTTAATGGGGTTTGAAGTGATTCAAAAATCACTCAAAAAAGCCATTAGGACCTTAGCCTTTAACCTTGGGTAAAGGGTCTATATTTTTGGGTTGAGCTAGATTTTGGATTTATTAATCAAAATTAAGTTACCCATGTCATTAAAAATCATATGGATGATTGTAGGTGATTGGATAGGGCAAGAGCTTCATATAAAATTAGGTTGATTAAGTCTTGGCTGATTGAAGGTCAATATAATTTTGATATTGAAGGGTTTGAAGGATGGATTAATTTGAGGTCTGTATAAATCCTAGGGTGGGGGATTCTAAAGTCTAAGAAGTCCTAGGGTCTGGGTCTAGAAGAATCCTAGCACCTAGATTGATCCTAGGGTCTGAAGTTTGGAGGGATCCCAGGGCCTAATAAGATCATAGGGTCTGGGAAGGTCCTAGGGTTTAGAGTCTAAAAGGATCCTAGGGTCTAGATAGATACTAAGGTTTAGATTGGTTTGAAAGAATCCTAGGGTCTAGATAGATCCTAATATCTGGATTGATCTAGGGTCGAGGTAGATCTAAGGACTAGATAGATCTTAAGGTCTGGATTGATCTAAGATCTGGATTGGTCCTAGTGGCCTCATACAAAAATGAGGTCAACAAAGAAGCATGCAGAATGGGAGAAAGATTCTTACCATCATAATGAGTGAGCTCCTATGACCCATCACCATTAAAGAAGGAAAAGTTCATAGATTTCATTTTGGGTTAGTAGGTTGGGTCTTATCTAGTTTGGCTAGTGGGGGGTCGGGTTTGGGTCTGAGATTTTAACCCATTTAGATAAAAGAGTTAGGTTTGAGTTGGGTGTATTAAGAGCGAGTCAACTTTGGGTTGTACCTGGACCCTATACGAAAATTTATTTTTGATACCCCTAGGATACATCACAACTTATATACCAAAAAAAAGAACAACCTCATGTGTTTTATACAACCATACCATGTATCCTCCTACTTTACAGACCACTTCCTCCACCATTTTTTAGTGAGAGGCATAGGCAAACACCTACTAGAGGAAAAGAAGGGGGAAGAAAAAGGGGGAAAACCAACTCAACCCCTCCTCATCACACAAACTAGTATATGCAAAACACATGGATGGACCACTTTGTTTGCCTTGAGCTAAAACTGGATGAGTTATATTCAACGGACAAATCAACGATGGGAGTAGATGCACTGCCCGTATGATGAGGACCATGCTTCATTCCAAGAGCAGTTCTCACTCCTCGATAGTTACTTCCAACCTTTGAAATTTTGAGTATTGTATGCTATTTTTTGTGTTTGTTTATCATAGTTTTAGTTGTTTATGTTTTTTCTACCTAACTGGTCATTTTTTTATGATGTCAAAAGGAGGAGATGAGTATGCGTTCCTACTTTATTGTTATACTATACAATCTACATTATATAAACCGATGAAACAAAGAGCATTTTTAAGTGATTTAGCCTAAATGAACTAATCGTACTATACGATCAACCCATCAAATTAAATTATTCAAGTTATTAGGGTTTCATTTTTAAGTTATGATATATATATCTAACACAAAAGAGAGAGAAAGAGTATGAGAAGTCAGAATAGTTTTGAGCATATTATATAGAGTTTTAAAGGGCTTAAAAAGAGTGTTTTTTATAGGTTTTTGGAGAGAATTCTTGAGAGCTTCTTATAATAGCTTAGGAATAGCGTGAGAGAGAATGGAAATAATATGAGAGATTTCTTGGAAGGGTGTTCAAGAGATGGTTGTGTGAGAGAAGGGTACAAAGGCTATTCATTTCAATATATATCCTTATTTCTTGGGTTGTTATGTATGAGAACATTTTGGTGAAAGAGATTTTAGAAAGTCTTGGTATGGGAGACTATTGATCTAGTTAGGATGTTATAGGTGTTGGTATTTCTACCATGCTATGTGTAAGAGGGAGGATTCTTAGGAGAGAAGTTGCAACAACCGTAAATTTGAATAATATGAATTTCCAAAAGTTCCCAAAAAAATTTTATGTGAGTATTGTGGTGCAACATTTTTGGGCGCAGTGGCACTAAGAAGTGCTAGAGAGTGTCCCTTAGCACTAAATCTCTTTTTTATACAATATTTCTAGAATCACATGTAGTGCTGCGATACTAGGTTCCTTTAGCGCCATACACTAAAATGAGTTGTTATATATATATTCAAAAGCCACTTGTCTCATTCCACTCACTCACTTAGCTTGCCCAAGAAGAAAACATAGAAGAAGGATAAGGGAAGGAGGAGAGAGGAAAAACAAAACTAGGGTTTTAGCTGTTGGTTCGTTTCATTGATTTTATGAAAATTGTTCTGATCATTATACATGACTTCTAATCTACTTCTATTTCAAAGATTTCAATTTCTATTATGTGATTTCTCCCAAATAAATTTTTATAGTATTTCCTCTAATTTTAGTGAACATCTATTGCATAAGTTTTGGTATAATGTACTACTTATTATGATCATTTTAATTGGTTGATTTTATATTTTTATCAATTAAAATAATAATTATTTTATTTGGTACGATTTAAGAAGGAATAATAATTTTGGACATTTTGATATAATGATACTGTTAATATAAGTATTGTGAGTGAATGTGTATAGTAATAGTTGGTCGTATTACTTTTATAATATTAATTATGTAAAAAAAGGCAGGTTATTTATTGAGGTTGGCTTGAGACTAAATTATACATGTGCTAGATGGTATTCCGACGGGCATTCCTTTTAATTTTGTGATTTGTGGTAATATCTTCTACTGACTCTCGTGATTTATTGATCGAGAGTTATAATGAGTAATTATTGTGCTGACAGGGAAGGGTGATAACTCTATTTACTAAAAGCAAACTATTACTGATTCATTATTACTATATATTAAAAAACTCAACACAAGCCATAATTCCTTACTTATTTAAGATACTTACATGGATATGCATATAAAATGCTGATTGTTTTGCATTGATAACATGAACATTATAGGAGATCACAACACTTTTGTAGGACACATATATTCCCTTAGTGAAGATAACATACATTTCTTCTTTCATAATAAATTTTAGACATATGCAACATGTCATCTTAAAGAACTTCTCCCAATGTCTTTCCTATAAGTACATAAAATGAAATCAATTTGTCTAATTAGTAACCATAAATCATACATATTTATCTTCCCTTTTTTAGTAGGGCAAGTTCGAATTATCCTATATTCCTAATCTCAAAGTTCAAACATTAAAGTGATTAATGCATGAAACTTTTGCTTCACTCATTAAACTCCATCCCTCTCATTGCTAGACCAACAAAAAGACCAACTACTATTTCTATATAAAATCTAGGTGGTAAAAGGTGCACAACCAATATGCATGTGTAACCAATTTGGCAAGCACTTGTGAGAAATTATATGTATCTTATGTATTCTAATGACTTGGTTGAAGCTAGGCTGGGGGAAAAAAATGTTACCGTTATTTCATTGACTCCCTCTTTTTTATTTAATTTAAATATTTGAATTTTATACTAATTGGCGGCATGTCCGGAGTCATGTTGTCTTAGGAAGTGACCCGCCACCCCGCCCTTCCCCGCATAATAGACCAAAACGAGACTCCTCGCCCAGACTATTAACCCCGCTTTCGAGCCTCTCCGCTGCACCACGAGTCGGACCCCGAGCCAAACCCGGTTTTCCATCGAACCATAAGAGTACCGACTACCGAACCGCCCGAGTCGTGCCGTGTTCTCTCTTAGACCGCTCAATGGTCTGTCTGATTTCTCCCACCCGAAACGAGCGAAAGCCGCCGCAGCGCTCTTTCCGTCTTTTTTTTTTCTTCTGCCGATCTCACTTCCTGTCTCCCCTCGCCGTCTGGCCTCGCCGCGTTCTCTCATATCTTCGCCTTTTTTTCTAGGTTATATAGGAAGGGCTGAAGCTGCAATCGAGGCTGCCCATTTGTCCAATCTCGCTCGGATCGGAGCATTGGCTAGGTATATGCCTTATCCTTATCTTAGATCAATTTGTCTCCCCTTTCGGTGAATGTGATCGGATCTCAGGGTTTCTGCAAATTAAAGGGCTTTCGATTGCTTTGATTGTGCTTTTTATTCTATCTGGGCGTAGATGGGCGGTTCCCCGGCGAACGGGTTTGGTGACGATTGGAGGAAGGAGGAGATGGAAGAGAGGATGTGTCTGGGAACGGAAGCTTCTGGAAGCGGAAGGTGGGATGGTGATGGCGTCGGAGGCAGTGGTGCTGATGGTGATGGTGGTTTGATTGGTGCTTATGTTGGTAGAAATACTTTGGGGGTTGGGAGGGTTCTTTTGGGAAAAGTTGTTTCCTATGATGAGACGAGCAGACTGTTTCGGGTTATATTCGAGGATGGACATCAGGAGGATTTGGAACGGGAGCTGGTGAGCAGGATCTTAATGTTGGATGAGGGAGTAGGAAGGCTTACTCAGAGGAAGAGGAGGCTAGACCGGGTAGTTCCTTTAGGAGGGTTGAACAGACGAACCACGCGATCCAGGAAGGGCATCCCTGACGTGTCTGCTTCGATTGGCCAGGTGAGCTCAGAAGATGTATCTAGGGATGCCGACTCATCCAGTGATTCCTGTGACCATGCTCGGGGTTCTGCTGTTGCTCCGAGTTCTTTTTCTGTGGAAACACATGTCTTGCCATTGGAACTGCCTCCATCTTCTGGCAACATTTCTGTTCCCGAGGGCTCAGTTTCACATCTGTTCTCCACTTATAATTTTTTGAGGTCGTTCAGTCTCCAGTTATTTCTTAGTCCGTTTGGGTTTGATGATTACGTGGCATCCCTCAACTGTACTGTTCAAAACTCCCTGATGGATTCAATCCATTTATCCCTCATGCGAGCTTTAGGTCGGCATCTCCAGATGCTTTCTTCAGAGGGCCCAAACCTGGCCTCCAAATGCTTAAGGTTAGAATTGCTGATGCCAATCTTCAATGTTTCATTCTTCTCCGACTGCTTATATATTCAGCTTGTTTATTTTTAAAATATTGGCTTTGAAATTTGCATTTGAAATGTTGTTCACAGATTATATGATTGGACATTGCTTGATATGTTGACTTGGCCTGCTTTCTTAGTTGAGTATCTGTATATTATGGGATACTTGACAGAATTGGATTTAAAAGATTTCATTTATAGTGTTCTTCAAGGAGAATATTACTGCCTAACTGTGGCTTCAAAGCTCAAGGTATTGCAATTACTGTGTGATGATGTCATAAACAGTGGGGAACTTAGGACAGAGCTCACGATGCGTGTAGGCATGGAAGAAGATAATGACGAAGGTTTAGATGCAAGTCTTACTTCAGAAGATGTACGAACAAGTTTATTTCAAAAACCCTTTCCCCCTGTTTGGAGGAATTCGGTTGTTTTGGGGGAATCTCTTGTGCCTGAAAATCAACATGCTAACTCTGTGGCTTCAGAACCTGGTGCTGATGGATCAGATAATTCTCAGGATAAGAACAGTGATGAATGCTGCCTTTGTGGAATGGACGGGACATTGATTTGCTGTGATGGGTGTCCTTCAGCATATCATTCTAGATGCATTGGGCTGAATAAAGCATTTCTGCCTGAAGGTCTGTGGTTTTGTCCAGAATGTAGTATTAACAAGCTTGGGCCCACTTCTTCTAGGATAGGAAAGGGAGCCAGAGGAGCAGAGGTTTTCGGTACTGATCCATATGGCCGCATGTTTGTGGGGGCTTGCAATTATTTACTGGTGTAAGGCTTCTGCAGCATTCAGTTTCATTTACTTGTGTTCTTTTGTGATGTTTTAGCAGAACTAAAGAAACATTTGGTAAAAGACTTGATAAGAATGAAACTTTTCTCCTTACCTATGATGAAGGCATCTGCCCTGTTTTAAGCATTTAGGTCATACAAGTTCTTTGCCTTGACATTATTTGACGCCATTAGAGTTCAACTAAGGATTTGTTTGATAAAGCACTTTTGAGTGAATGAATATATGTGCATATTTGGTTTTTTTCCTTTTGGTGTATCACATCTGATGCATCAAAGGGTAAGATTAGTTATGATATTTATTCATTAGTTTCTTTCACTCTCCACCCACATCTCTGCATCTTGGCAAGATTATTGAATATTCTGAGGGTTGTGCGCAAGACTTTTTATTTTCCCTTCTGTCTTTCAGCATTGGCATTCCAAAGCACTTGTCTTTAGGAATTCGTATAATTTTTGAAAAAAGAAAAACCATTCGTATTATCAATGAATTCTCATAAAATTGATCTTTCAATTTGCATATACATATGTATATACATATACATATCGTCTTATTACTCTAAGAGAGAATTCTTTATGAAAATTTTGATCTTTATAACAAGTTGTTGATGAAGTTCAAAACTCAACAACTTGCATGGCCCTGGTGTTTTTGGGCTTTGCATTACTTTTCTATTTAACTCCAATTTAGCTAGTTTGAAGCGGATTTTTCTAATATCCTTGAAATTTTTACCAGAGAAAGTTCACATCTTGGTTAGGCTATCATGTGGGCTTGATAGACCAGATGAGCCCAACCCTCTAAATTCCCTTATGGGTTAATAAAACTAAATGGTAATGGGCTTAAAAAAGCTTACTTTAATAGGTTAAGGGCTAGCCCATGAGTTCATTTATCTTTTAAAAGCAGCAATGACACCCATTGGCCATTGCCAAGAGTCTTGAAATTAGACCAAAAACAGTATTTTGGACATGGTTTGAACTTATAGCTTCTTATAAACGTAACAAAATTTTGTTAATAAAATGTCTATTCTTATATTATGTAAAAATTAGTTGTTTTAAAGTTTGTTCGAGTGAAATTTTCATTTACTCATTGTAAGCTTAAAAGTTATTCAAAATGATATTCTAGTTTGCCACTCTCACTTGACATGTGGACATAAATATGGTCAAGTTGATTTTGATTTGATTAAAATTTTAAACAAGTTCTACTTTAATTTTTATTTGAGAAGTACATTATATTATATATAAATGAACCTTAATGTGCACCCCACTAAACGTCCATCATAAATCTAGGCTAGCCCAAGTCGATGCTTAGCTTTGTAGGGCCTAAATGAGGGGCTTAAAGGAGCTTGAACAACCCATTTAGTGCCCTCATTTTTGCCCTTTAAAATTAAATTAAGTATTGTAGAGATGTGGATGCTGTGTTGGATGAGTTGCTTTACACTTAGAAACAGAATGCAAAATGAGTATATACGTGAAAAGGTTGGAGTAGCTCCAGTGACAAATGGGATTAGAGAGAGTCACATTAGATGGTTTTGTCACAAAAAATGTTAGCATTCCAATGACTTGATTAGGAGAGTAGATGTATTAGATCCGAAATATGTTAAGAAAGGTAGAGCTAGACCAAAAAAGATTTGGTTAGAAAGCATTAGATATGACTTTTTTTATTAGATTTAAATGAGAATTTGACCCTTAATAGGACTCAATGGAAAATATAATTCATGTTGCCAACTACACGTAGTGGTATAAAAGCACTTAAGAAAGGTAGAGGTAGACCAAAAAAGATTTGGTTAGAAAGTATTAGAAATGACTTTTTTTATTAGATTTAAATGAGAATTTGACCCTTAATAGGACTCAATGAAAAATATAATTTATGTTGCCAACTACACGTAGTGGTATAAAAGCTCAATGTTATTGTTATTGTTGTTGTATTTGTATGCTAGTATTAGGCCTTCTATCTTCCAGATAGTGTTCTTAGCTTATTTATCAAGGCTGTTTGGTTGCCTGAAAAAAGAATGCAGTGTAGAAGGAATGCGGTGTAAAAGGAATACTTTGGACTTGTTTGGATAATTGTAGAATAAATGCATGACTTTATTATTATTATTTTTGGTTTGAAGTAAAGTTAATGCAATGTAAAGTGTAAAAAGGTTGTGCCCGAGTGGATAATGGGTGGCCGGAGGTGGGTGGGTGGCTCGAGGTGGTAGTGGTCAACAAGAGATGCATTTGTGGTATATTTGGAAATCACCCAAATCGGAGGAATTCCAATTACACCACAAATGAACTAGCCGGTGTATTCCAAATGCACTAAAATTTTACTCTGCATTTCTTTTACTTCAAACCTAACGTCAATATTTTCAAAACATCTGCATTTGAAATACTTTACGCCCTATAGTATTCTAACCAAGTAGCCCCATAATGAGCAAGGTTTCCTTTCAGTAGAGCTGTACTGCGTTTCATCACATTTTTTCTGAATGCAAGCATGTTTACCCCAATAGTGGGAGTTCAGGACTTGAAAAACCTTCTAAACTCTTTATCATTTTATTCGTACTTTAAGACAGAAAAATGAATGTAATATACTTCGAATAGGTGACTCTAAATAGAGCAATCAGTCTCCATCCTGGGATTTGTTTGAGGTGACGTGATGACAACTCCACTGGAAAGCACACTAGAACTAGGTACGGAGGCAGGGTAGAATTCCATCAAGCTATAGCCCTTTTGTTTTTAAATATGTGACCATAAATCATCAGAAAAGGAAGATGCATGATTTATTATTTTCAATATTCAGTGTTTTGTTAATGTCAAATGTGGTGGCAGCATTATTATTATTTTTATTTTATTTCACTTTTTTCCCTTCCTATCAGCTTCTAAGAATGATGCTATTTTTGTTGATATTATCATTTAACCTTTGTGCATATTCCTTCAGGCCATGCCTTTCAATCTTTTATTAATTTACTTGATTAAGTGCAGCTATGGATGCTTGGTGCAACGTTTGGTAAAACTTGGAAAGCTAGAGTTTAAAATGATATATTTAAGAGGCGTTAGGGTAGGCACCTAATGAAGATAAGATAATATATAAAATACAGGTGTTTTGAGTATGTACTGTGAAGGATAAACAATACATAAATGAGATGCAGGAAAATATGAGAAAAGTTTTAGACTAAAGGTAACATGGCTAGAAATTACGCAAATAGAATTTGCACAAAATAATTGGGATATGAAAAGATTGAGTTGACGCATTATCCAACACTATAGGAGCAAACAGAGGATAATTATCAATCTAAAATATTGGTGTTCTGCACGATGTGCACTCCGGATTATTGAAACTCTATTTGTTTTCTTCAGTCTTCTTTCTGTGATTGCTTAATACCCACTTATAAGAGATTGATGTTGTTATGTTATTTATAGTTTTAATTCTTTGTTGTATTTAGAACTTGTATCTTATGGCACTCTATGTCGCTAATGTTGCCTGATATTTTATTGGTTGTTTTTGAGAGGCAGACTTGGCACATCATTGAATGGAGATGCAATTTCTAGATACTATAAACAAGATGACATCCCAAAGGTTTTAGGTGTAATTTCTTCGACTCAAGCAAATGGATTAGCTTATGTTGATATCATCATAGGCATATCTGAATATTTTGAGATTCCAAAGGTCTCTTTCATCTCTGAAATAATTGAGTCTATGAGGAATACTCTGGTTAACAAGGATGGTGCTGTATGTTATTTGGCCAACACCCCGTCAAGGACGACCAACATATTGAATAATTCAGGTGATAATAGTATGAGCAATATAGTGGCAAGCAACTCGAAGCATGGTGTTGCCTTGGATGATGGAACGGAAGGTCCAGTTTCTCTTTCTGTCATGGGTCAGTTTGGTATCTCAGATGCACAAATAAATCCTAGGGAAATCCATGATGTATGTGCTAACAAGGTGCTTGCAACACCTCATGAAATCTTTGTTCCCTTAAATAGTAAGAATCCTACAAATGGAAAGGTTATTTGTTCAGATCCAAAAGTTATCTTGTCCAAACAGATTGAGTCAAGGGAGAAGCTTAGCTTTGGTTCTGTTGTAACTGATCTGTCTTATTCAAACCCAGCAATGCCTACTGAAAAATCAATTTTGTTAAGCAATTTTGCTTTTAGCTCAGGAAATGGGAGTGACATTTGCAAGGAAGATACAGATAGCTCAATATTTTCAACAAAGAATGGTTCTGCTGGTGCATGCTATGAAAGCAGGCATCTCTTGAACGTGTATGATGTCACACATAAAACTACAAATGATAGAGTCTCAACTATTCCTGTTTCCTTCAAGCCTCTGTCATACATAAATCAGTATATTCAAGGTGACATTGCCGCATCTGCTGCTGCTAGTCTGGCTGTTCTCTTAACAAATGACTGTAAAATAACCGGTGTACATGGTTCTTCCAACCACAGGAAACTAGTATCTGCAACTACTGCACTGCAAATGAAAGCTTTTTCTGTAGCAGTTATGAATTTTTTATGGCCATGTGCTGAGAAGAAGCTTATGGATGTTCCTAGGGAAAGATGTGGTTGGTGCATAGCATGCAAAGGCCCAGCTACTAATAAGAAAGGGTGCTTGCTAAATTTAGCTGCATCAAATGCCATAAAAGGACCTACCAGAAATGGTAACCTTCGTGCAAGCAAGCACCATGTAAGTCATCTGCCAGTCATTGCTGCTCAATTGTTGATTATGGAAGAAAGTTTACAAGGGCTTATGATTGGCCCATTTTTAGATGAACGCTGCAATAAATGGCGTAAGCAAGTTAGAGAAGCCAGTAATTGCGGCTTCTTGAAGTCACTACTACTTCAAGTAAGTTTCTTTTATTACTATTTTATCCATTGGTTCTTTTTCTTTAGCCTTCTGTATATTCTAACCTCCATTTTCCTTGATTGGTTTCTATTTTGATCATTGAACTATGCAGTCATCATCATTTGTGTTTAGATGCTTCTATATTCTAAGCAACATATAAAAAGTTTAGTGTGCTAAATTGTTTGTCCCCTCCATTGATAAATTTGTTAACAAAGTTTGTTTAATTATTTTGCTCTGAAGTATGATACTTTTGAAGGATTTTTTCTATGGTGTAATTTTATAACTAGAAAATGATAAGATAACATGATGCCTAAGGATCCATTAGAACATGAAAATCACTCATTTAGACTGCCTTGATTGAGTTTGTTTAAAACAAGAGAGTGATAATAGATTTTTATTCCTTATTCTGGCATCTTCTAGCAAACAGGAATTGAATCTCATTTTTCAACAGAGCTGTATCACTTAAAATGCCACCATTAGAATATACGGTTGCAGATCATGATCATCAGTGTCTTTAAAAATAAGGAGATGAGGAACTTCAATGATAGGAGTATCAATATACATGATATTGTTTGCATATTATGCAGAATCCATTTCGATAGGACTTGTAGTGGAAGACACAATAGGCTTAGAATCCAAAGGAAAATCTATTGGTTCCAAAATTTGATTGCAAACCTGAACTGATGAAGGAGGAGCAATCATTGTGGGAGAAGGAAAGATCTGAACATTTGAATATATCTCTTGAGCCTAAATATTTGATTTTCTTAGACGTGGATGAGCCTTACAACATTCAGAGTGTTTTTGCCTAAAGATTTTGCAAAATAAGTAATAAGGGGGCGTTGAAGACTCACGAGGGTGAATGACCCTATTTGTGCATGTGCCATAAATGTATGGACTCATAAGTGACGGGCGCTTGCTTCACCCTGCGAGCGATCAACCAAGCAAAGTCTTTGGGATGCTTGCTTATGAGAACATTATGATGTTGGATTTGCATCTAACATTTAGGGTTGCTCAAATACTCTAGGATACAACAAGACAGTGTGTGAGAGAATGCTTGCTTATGAGAACATTATGATGTTGGATTTTCATCTAACACTTAGGGATGCTCAAATACTCTAGGATACAACAAGACAGTGTGTGAGAGACAACTTTATGTCCACATTAAATTTCAAAATGATCCTAATAAGTTCGGATAGGGAAGAATGAGACATTAGAATTTATGGCATATTTAATCATTTTTAATGTGTTCTTGCTGACATTGGATGCAGATGTGTATGTAGTTTCAAGTTTATGCTAAATGTCTGGTGATATTTTTGTTTATGTTTGCATGTGTACTCAAACATAAACATGCTGTGCTAATAATTTTATGAATATGCGGTGCGTTTCTTTCATGTGTATTCATTTATTTTTTTCCACCCTGCCAAATGCAAATGCATAAGTTGGCATCTATTGTGTGGGGTTGGTAGAGGGTTAGCCTTAAAAAGTGCACTTTATGTGATACAAAAGTTTTGGCTATTTCTTTCAAAGAATATGATATATTTATGAGTGGTTATTTAATGGGTTGGAAAAAGTTTAAGCTTATCAAAAAGCAGTTTAATGGACATAATCATTTCTCATGGTTTATGAGACTCATACTTCCTATCATGGAAGCTCTAAATGTTTCATGGAATAATTTTGGGTGCTGTAGTTTTGAATTAATGGTTATCCTTATGTTGACATGTGGTTGTTTGGTTAGAGATATGTTGATAGTTATGGTCCAAGGTAGGGGAAGAATACCATTTTTAAAAGGAATAAGTAATGGCTTACATTTGCATGTATGTTTCAAACTCATGTTTTGGTTCGGCACAATATTGGATTGGAATGAGCGGATAATTTGAATTGTCACACTTGGTTATCTATGTTGGAGCCAGAAATATTTCTGTCACAGAAGAAGTTTAAAAAATATCATCAACTTCATCATTAATGGCTTTGGATTTATGAAGAATACCATTTTTAAAAGGAATAAGTAATGGCTTACATTTGCATGTGTGTTTCAAACTCATGTTTTGGTTCGGCACAATATTGGATTGGAATGAGCGAATAATTTGAATTGTCACACATGGTTATCTATATTGGAGCCAGAAATATTTCTGTCACAGAAGAAGTTTAAAAAATATCATCAACTTCATCATTAATGGCTTTGGATTTATGAATCCCTCTTCATCATTATTGTTTTTGTTTTACCATATTTATGATATTAGTATTGTTTCATTGTTTAAAATTGCATAATTTTAGGTTGGTCACATCTCTTTTTTTGATTTTTTTACATTGAGGCGTGTCTCTTGAGTATGTTTGTATCAGGTGTACTGCACTCATTTTCTTAGACATGCCTTGCTTCAATGTGTGAGGCTTGCATCTTAGGGTTTAGGTATTTACCCATGCCACATTCTATCTTGTGGTCTCACTCTTTCATGTAAACCACGAGGCACATGTCCCCAACCTTCCTCCTCTCTCGCCCTGAACATTTTAACCGGCCAGCCCCTTCCTTGTTGCTACTTGTCGCCTGCAGATTGCAGCCTGCTTGCTAAGCCTTTTTCAACAAGGGTTAAGGGGAATATCTCTTCTCCACAACATCTCTTCTTTATGGTAATCTTAGCATTTTTTTTTACAAAACATTAAAAACATGACATAATGAAGAAAAATGATTCATGTAGCCAACCCCACATAGTGGGATAAAGGCTTGTTGTAGTCGTAGTAGTAGTATTTAGGGTTTCTTCTTTTGTGGTTATTTGATTGTTCAAAATTTTTTAAAAAACATTTTGTTAGGATTTTTCTAAAATGGTAAGAGGTAAAGATAAAAGTGCAATAGGACATTAAAAAGACTCAACACGGAGGCAGTTTGCAAGTTGACATTGGATGGAATGACAAAGCATATGTTTATATAAAGGGCTACTATTGCAAAATGGTTGTTAAATGGAGTGTTAAAAGGATAGAGCACCTTTTTGGCTCACACAAAAATTGCAATATATGCCAAGTTGCTTGAGGAGGTGAAAGAAGAGATCCGAGCATATATGATTAGGGTGATGATCTCGAAGAATTTGACATAACTATAATTTGATGACATAATAAATGTTGAATCATGTTATGGAAGAGTATTTTTGGACTTCTGGATGGAGTCATAAAGGAGATTAGAAGGCATTTGGTGTTATAAGTTATTACGGATAATTTTAATACTTGTAAGGTAGTTAGGAATAAATTAATGGAGATCAATGGAGAAGAGAAAACATATGTATTGGATGCCTTGTGTGTCACACTATATAAATTTGATTTTACAAAATAGTTGGTGACTTGCCTTAGCTAAAAAATGCTTTGACCAACGTAAGGAAGATAAGTAAATTCAGCTATAATCATTCATAGACATGGTTTAAAAAAGCATTTGACAGGTACACCTTGAGGACCTGAGCAAAAATTCAGCAGATTTCTAGTATTTTCAACATTCCGGATTCAACGATGAAGTCCATTTCACGAACGGACATCGTTCGTGCAACGTCGCATATCGTCACGTCTAAAGACTGTTGATTTTAATTGTTTTTCTCAAATCGATTGTGAGAGCTGCCCCTTAGGTAAATTTGATGTTATGAACACATCAACACAGTCTGTTTGATGATCAGAGATCATTTGTATAATTTTATGTAGCACCATGCTTGCCAACAGTCATGCTCATCGTCATTTTCAATTGAGTTACGCACGAATGTCTTTTTCTTAGTAAATTTGATGTTATGAGTGCATCAATGTGATCTATTTCATGATCGGGTAAAGTTTTGAGCCATTTTGATAGCGATTGAGGTGTCCCGATGCTTGTGATAAGCGACATATCCATTAATTGCCTTCATCAATTCACTTGATTGATTGTAGAATATGTATAGATGTCAACAGAGGATTGCGATTGAAGAGAGGAGGAAGATTGAGACAACATGACCTAAATGATATAAGATAAGGGAGAAAGCTATTCATTATGATGATGACTTCAATGAAGATCTTGAGTGATGATATTGTTGAGAACTTCTGATTAGTTACTTGTTATAATCTTAGTTTGATGTTATATATTAGGAGTGAGAGAGATAAACTTATTGTGTTAGCCTATTTTCAATTGTATATTTGATTAGTTAGCCCTTACTCCTTGTTTTCATATCATAAGTTATTTTAATGTTTGCATTATACATCTAGTTCGTGCAATTTGTTACTTTATACTTATTTTAGAAAATAAGGAGTAGCGCAATAAGGTTGGTTTAGTTTAGTTTATTTGTTTTAATTAAACAATATACACGCCTACTTCTCAGGCATCCAACTTGATCAAAATCCCTTGGTCTCTTATCTTAGATATTTTGTACATCTCATTTTCTTATTTCTAATAACCATGTCTATTATATAAATCATAAAAAAATATAGCTTTTACTTTACTCGTATTTTTTAATTTCTAGTTTTTTGTTGATTCACATGGCAAGGAGGGGGCCCACAGCTTTGACAGCTCTGCAATCCGTTGGCTGTAGTTGTAGATTTAGTTTTCTGACACCAAGATCCGTGGGATTGATTCCAAGATTTGTGGGATATAATTATTAGAATCCATTAGAATAAATGACTTTCCTCTTCTATTTATTATAATTCATTAGATTAAATATCTTTCTTTTTCTGTTTGTTCTCCTAAAGTGTATATATATGTAATGATTCCAAGCAATAAAATTCGAATTTAATTTCTCCTAAACAATTTCTTAATGGTATTAGAGCTTAGGAAAATCCTAAGACTTCTCTCTGAGTACTGGTGGCAAACCTTCCTTCCTTTGTTCCAACCTTTAGCCGGTGGTAACTCTCCATCATCCAGCCGATAGCGTCTCTTCAAGAACCAGTAGCCCTTGCCCAAAATTAATCTTCTCTTTCAACCGAGAAAACCCAACCGTGTCCATGGATAGCGAGATTTCATCCTCCTACCCAAATATTACCGTTTTAAACACTTGAAACTCTGG